GTTAACATGTATCCCACAAGAGTTAACATGTTATCAATTAGAGTTAACATGTATCCCACAAGAGTTAACATGTTCTCCACAAGAGTTAACATGTATCCCACAAGAGTTAACATGTTCTCCACAAGAGTTAACTTGTTTTCGACAAGAGTTAACATGTATCCCACAAGAGTTAACATGTTAGCAACGAGAGTTAACATGTTTGCCACAAGAGGTAACACGTTAGCTACAAGTGTTATTATGTTATCCACGACAGATAATATGTTAAGTAGTTTAATGCTAACTCTTTAATATTAACTGTGAAACTGTGTTTTTTGCTTGTTATGTTTTTGCGTTTAGATGTTACTTTTCATGTTTTAAATTTTAACCCTCCGTAACTTATTTCTTGTTAAGGTACGTATATGTCATAACTACTGATAACAGCGCAATTACATACACGGATCTACTGTATATGATCCGCGGGGGAAGACTTGATGATAAAGTAACAGAGGCACTCTTAGACAGATTACGGCTATGGCTGCAGTTGCCAGAGAACGCTGAATTAAACAAGCAGTACGGGATTGTATCTACATATTTCTGCGTAAGACCAATCCTCATATAATTAGTTAACAGATAAGCTCTTATATTTAACATGTTAACCAGAATAGTTAACATGTTCTCCACAAAAGTTAACATGTTATCTATCAGAGTTAACATATAGCCACAAAAGTTCACATGTTATCTACAAGAGTTAACATGTTAGCAACAAGGGTTGACATGTTTTAAACAAAAGCTAACATGTTTTCCACAAGAGTTAACATGTTTTCTACAAGAGTTAACATGTTCTCAACAAGAGTTAACATGTTCTCCACAAGAGTTAACATGTTTTCGACAAGAGTTAACATGTATCCCACAAGAGTTAACATGTTCTCCACAAGAGTTAACATGTATCCCACAAGAGTTAACATGTTCTCAACAAGAGTTAACATGTTCTCCACAAGAGTTAACATGTATCCCACAAGAGTTAACATGTTCTCCACAAGAGTTAACATGTTTTCGACAAGAGTTAACATGTATCCCACAAGAGTTAACATGTTATCAACAAGAGTTGACACGTAACCCACAAGAGTTAACATGTTAGCAACGAGACTCAACATATTATCAACAAGACTTAACATGTTATCAACTCTGATATAGTTAACAGCTCTGATATAGAATTTAACAAATCCAAAGATAACATGCTAAATAGCATAAGTTCATACATTAGCATAGATATAGAACAGCCAAATAACGTTACCTTATTCCCGGGAAGAATGCATTTGCCCATTGATCAGGAGAGTAGTTCATAGCAATGTTGTATGCCCTTGGATCCATGTCATATATCTCTTTCATGTACTCATTCCATTCTGCTATTGTGTATTTATAACAAGCACTTTGGAGTAAGTTCCCAAGAACATGAGTGTCCTTCGACTTCATACCCAAGTCCTTAAGCTTTAACCTGAAATTTTCAACAAGATGTAGAACACACCTCGAGTGTAGAGCTTCTGGAAAATACTCTTTTACTGATTCTTTAATTCCTTTGTCCGCATCAGAAATTATAACCAATTGGTGGGGAGGATTGTAAGGGTCAGCCCTCTCATAAAGTATGGACCATAGACCTTGGAGGAACCACTTCCAATTCATCAAATTCTCTTGATCACATATGCAATACGCTAAGGGAAATATACCTTGGTTCCCATCGTATGCTATGGCCGAGAGGAGAATACCTTTATATCGATCCTTCAAAAATGTACCGTCCAAAAATAGAAGGGGTCTGCATCCACTCAAGAAACCTTTGATGCATGCAGCATAACAAACAAAGAGTCTCGAAAACCTCCCCTCATTCTGGTCAACATGTATGTAACTGCCGGGATTTGTCTCTTTTACCATGCGCTCATACCTAGTCGTGTAAGAAGAAACAAACCAACAAGTTAACATGTTATCCGTGTAGCTTAACAAGCGACCAAAAAAAGCTAACACATTATTGGGGTAACTTAACAAAAGTTAACATGTTATTTACAAGAGTTAACATGTTAGTCGTGAAACTTAACATGTTATCAATGTTATCAATGAACTTAACAAGGAACATGTTAACTATTTGTTTTAACAAGCAAACTTTGAAACTTAACAAGTTAATAATAAAGCTCAGCATTTACCATCGTAGTTGATCATACGACTCATATATATCCCCGTAAAGCTTCTCCTGTGCTCTCTCTTTCCCCCACCATATCTTACTGTAATCAATTCTAAGGCCGTAGTTTGTGAGGAACTCCTTTTGCACATCAACGGGTCGGATTTCTGGACGGACCTTCAGGAGTGGTTGTAACTGTGTTGCAATGAATTTACGGGATGCCCTTGAACGACCTGTATTTTGCCCGTACTGCCCACAAGTATGTTCATTAACAAACTTCTTGATCGATAGTCTATTTGCATTCTTAACAGGTGAAGCAAACAACATCCATGGGCACTCGTAAGTTTCTTTATATCGGCAATATACACGGATACGTTTTGGTTCGTTCTTTTTAAACTCATAATCAAACATTTTGGCCAGAGAATAGTATGTCAGCGCCAACCTTAATTCTTCAGCACTTTCAAATTCTTGACCCTCTTCAGTTAATGCATTATGCCACCAACCAGGAATCATTACTGTGTTGTTAATAATGTCATCAGAACGCACTACACTGCTACCACTGGGATTATCAATTGGAATTCTTTCAGAACCATGGTTTGCAGCAGAAGTACTATCAATAAACTTTGGCTTCAGTGTATTCATAATGCTGCACAAATATAATTGGTTTTTCTTAAAATAACAAATAGGACTTGTACTTAAATAATGCAGTACCCTTAAGAGTTAACAAATATGCCCTAAAGCTTAACAACCTTCGGTAGAAAGTTAACATATATCAGTTAAAAGCTAACATTTAACCTGCTCTATGCAATTCATAAGTTTTCAAATAAATTAAGTGTAAATATAACTTACATTTCAGGAGGTTGCTTCGGGGTGTTCTCACATCTGGAAACATCTACATCTATATTAGCTCGAATATGGATCTCCAGACACCCGATATTACGGTTGTGCTCCACCATACACTCCATATCATCCTCATTCTCGATCTCAAAACTCAGATCAGGGAACCTTTCAGATTTATAAACCATTGATAGCGCATCATAAGGAACCTTCAACCTCTCAGCCACGTCGAACTTAAACTCAAAAAAAGAGGTTGCAGAAGTTACCCTTGAGAACACTGCTCTCTCACCCAAGGAAACCATGCAAATAAGGGGGCTCTCCGCCATAAATGAAGGGGATTTAAGAGGAGTTATGAAGGGCACTTTAGGACAAGTAGGGGGCTGAAGATCATAAGCCCTAACCGCAAAGATCTGCCCTTTGCACCATAAATACACTCTCTTCAAAGCCGAGTGGGTTAACAGGAGATATAACGGAGGGAGCGCGCCAAAATTTCCCCCCAAAACGGCCATCATCTCGCCTTAAATGCGACGGAGAGGTTTCGCCAGTGATCGGATCTCGTTTTCAAGGCACGGAGTTGAAGGCGGGGGTATTTTAGGGAGGCTGGTGCAAATACGGGTGTGAGAACTGCTTTTAGGGCTCAGTTACATTTTTTTGAAAATTTAAGGGCTTAGCCACATGGGCCAAACTACAGGGGGCTGGGCCACATTGTATTTTCAATTTTGGGGCCTTGAAGCAATTTTTCCTTTAAAGAAAACTACCAAAATCTTTTATGTACGAAAATGCCACTATTAGGCATTTTCTCAGAAGTTTTCTATAACCTTGTCAACCAAACAGTCCCTTATACAATACTCTAATTTTAGAAATTAAATTGGTAACTTCATCAAGATGATGATCCTCTTATATGATCGGTGTCAGATTCTGTATATGGTTTGTTTCCACGTATGCAATTCTACGAAGTTTCTCCTTGTGACATATTTGGTTGTGTTGAGATTTTGATGTATGTTTAGTTTTTTGATTTGTTTCGCAGGTTATTTGTTTCTCATGATCGACATGAAGATAACCTGATATATAGATGAGAGGCTGTGATTTGGTTTGCTTTATTTAAACCCTTTTCATTCATTTTTCTAATATAGTTTTAAATATGTATTATTTATGTAATATTTTTTTCACATTAATTTGATGTTGTGTGTAGTGGGGGATACTTATATAAGCCATAGTGTGTCATGTGCAGATCTTAAAACAACTGACAGTAATCATGCGTGTGCTATATTATCCTTATTAACGGAAAGCCTACCGTCCTTATCTTGATCCATATTTCTTTTTCGTATTTCTTCACGTGCCTGTGGAATCTCTTATTATTATAAGACTTTATACCCTATATAATCAAGATCTCTTAATCTCTGAATCACAGTTCACCAGCTTTTCATGTACCAAAATTAGTAAAATAGAAATGGCTTGTTTATTCAAGGTTGCGTGGATTGTGGAGCCGCACTGTTATACTGTATCTGTATATGTAACTTCTTTTGAATTGAATCGTTGATATATCACAATTTTAGTAGACTTTTGTGTGTGCGTCTGCAGCGTCTGGGGGTGGTCTCTCTCTCTCTCTCTCTCTCTCTCTCTCTCTCTCTCTCTTGTTTTTTTTTGGTCAATCAGAATTATTTTTCATTCAAACCAAAATGAGAGTTATGTACATCAAGTTCTCATATTTGAGAAATCTCTCTCTCTCTCTTGTTGTTGTTTGTTTCTTCTTCTTTTTTTCCTTTGTGTGTGTGTGTGTGCGTTTAAATGTCTTTTTATGCCCAGAAATATGGAAGATTATACATATCAAAGACGAAAAATGACAATGACAAATGAAGAACATCCAAATACGCCAGGAATATTCTCTTGGTTTAATTTTTTTTAGCCTTTAGCAAGCATGTAATCAGTGAACATATTCTTAAGCAAGAACAGCTGAGGGTAAATATCAAATACTTGGCAGCTAATACAAGAACAAACACTTTCAATCTTTTCAAAGTGAGCGCAATTTCATGAACCAATCGATTCGATGTTGTAAATAAATTTATACTCCCATGAATATGAAGTAAAAGTTGCTGCTATACAACAATACAATACACTGGACCGAAGTGAAAGTCTGATAATCGATTGATACCTACAAAGCCAGAACGCACTGCTGCATGACTCATTGACTAAAATTAGGGAAAGCGAATTCTGCAGCTTTGAGCAAACTGGCTACTCATATGGCTCTCTTGGCAGAAGATCATGCTCATCTTAAGTATTGCTTCACAAGTCGCACATATTGGTTGTATTATATACGGAGCCTTGTGAGAAGAATGCAAATCTTTACATCACACATGAAGACTGCTTGAATTGCCTCGATGACATAATTAATAACCAACATAATTGAAGCTACTATAAATTCAAACTGGTACTAGGTTCCCTTCCAAGGCTTCTTTTCCTGTTATTCCTTCTTTTAGGGTATTGAAGTAAACATCATAATCCTTTTCGGGAGGAGGGTTCGAAGGGTCCACTGTGAAGGGTTCACTAAATGGAATGGTACTTTTAACCTAATGAATTCACCGAACAAGAGAATTAGGTCATAGAATGAGACATCGTTTACATGATAATTTTATTGATCCTTTGTTGATCCAACAGAGAATATAAAACCCGTGTACAAGGATACTTGTTGGATTCAGTCATAATCAGTTTTTAAATAGTGAACACATGTCTACCATTCATTTTGGTTGTGTTTTAAATAGTTTTTATTATAATCCAAAAAGGCAGAGAATTTTAACCTCAAAGGTTTTATTGCATGCATATGGGCTTCCCAGGGCTGCAATACATATTCGTGCAACCTCTTCCCTTGATATTTTCCCCTGTAATCAATTAGAATTTCAGAATGCTCCTCTGTCCTTTCTCAAATAAGTAGTCAAAATATATGCTCACAGGTTAACATATTCTTACAATTTGGTTAAACAATTCACATAGTTGATGACCTTTACTGAATGACAATAGCCAATGTAACAGCAAGAATATGTAAAATGTAAAGGTGGTCTAAATACCGTTATATTGTCCCCCTGATCAAATATGAGATCAGCTCCCGCTGGCTCTTCACTCAGCGCACAAGGCCTGACTATGGTGTAAGGAATACCACTTTCCCTTATCAAATCCTCCCCCTATGAACACATTGTAACTAACGTTACCAATTTTCTGTATATCCGTTATTTGCAAAACTACGTGGCTAAAGTGCTCAACCATGGTCAAAGAAACTATATACTTTGCTAGGAAATACCAAAAGAATAGATTGAAGTAATAGGAGACCTTCAGTTTGTATGTGAGGATAAAGCCTAACTCCTTGTTCAAGCGCACTGCAGGAGGTTGTTTGCTCAAATCTAGGCCAGGCCTACCAGGTCGAGTAACTCCAGCGGAACTCACATGTACAAACCTGACAACAACAAACCAAAGAGAGAAGTGAGATAATTTACAAAATACATGCCACTTCAGCCTAGTAACTAATCTTTATCAATATATCTACATTTCCCAGCTTACTAAATGTGAAGGTGGCCCTATTGGTATAATAGTTGCTTAGCTGCATGCTCTTAGCATCCCAGGTTGTAAGTAAGGATTTACACATAACTACTTTATAACAGTTGGCACTTTACTTATTTTCCCAACAAAAATTATGATTGCATGTGCACCCATCAAAGGAATTACCATTTATGTATAAGGCAACATACTTGGCAATAGCAACCATATAACATACTCCATTAGTAATCTAGGTCAAAAGCATTTAATATTTGGAAATATGTTAATTTACCTATCAATTCTTTAAAGCTATAATAATATATACAGTAGCATAGTGAAATTGATATATGGAGACACACCATAGTTGTAACGGTCAAATATATGTTGATTACTGGACTAGTAGAAAAATGAGCAACCTAGACGGAAATTTCCGTCTAGGTTGCTCCAATTTCCGTCTAGATTGGTTCACCTAGACGGAAATCCGTCTAGTTTGTTCCGTCTAGAATATTTCCGTCTAGATTGGGGCAAACTAGACGGAATTCCGTCTAGTTTGCTAACCTAGACGGAAAACAACCTAGACGGAAGTGAAAATCCGTCTAGGTTAATTCCTAGACGGAATTCCGTCTAGGTTAAAGCAACCTAGACGGAATTCCGTCTAGATTGATACTGTAGCAATAGTAGCAACCTAGATGGATACTGTAGCAACCTAGACGGAATTTCCGTCTAGGTTGCTTCTGCTACAGTTTTTTTTTTTTTGCGCAATCTACATTGCAAGCTATATGATATCAAATGTATATATGCACGATATTGCACAACACCAAATTATATTCATATCCAACACAATCTAATTATATTTCAATATCAAATACAATTATATTCAATAATACATTCATCAAAATACTAGTGCGATACATAAAATTTTCTATTTAGCAAGAGCTTCATTATGCATCACTTCAGTAAGACCTTTTTTCTCACATGGAAGCATCTGAGATGTAGCGCTTTTCACAATGCAAACTTCACTGACCAGACTCTGAAATGCATGAGAATAAAACCACATCAAAGATTTTTCTATTTCAGTCAATTCATGCACATAATTTACGATGAAACACAGAAACACCCTGCAGAAAAACAGATTCAATTCTTCTATTTTTTGAAATTAAGCCAAATGGCTCCAAACCTTCACTTCTCCATACTCAATATGTTAAATACAAACTGTGTATCAGCAAGTAACCTGTGTAGCCAATTCCAACATAACATGTATCAGCAATTAACCTGTGTAGCCAATTCCATACTCAATATGTTAAATACAAACAGATTCAATTCCAACATAATATGTTAAATACAAACTGTGTATCAGCAAGTTACGTGTCATTTGAAGTAACTAGGAAAAATGAGACAAAGGGTCCACTTAAATATATACTTATTAATACAAACATAGGAAACCTTAGCAAACTAGTTTCAGTTTTCTGACTATACATACATAGAAGATCCTCAGAGAAAGCGGCCCCCAACAAAACCACCTCCACAAAAATTAAGTATTCACTAGTTATCTGTATAAGCGAACAGTAAGAAAGAAGCTTTATAAGAAATTTACCTTGAGTTTTAGTGTTCTACAGACACTGTGGAAAGATATCTGTTGAGGGGGCATATCAATCAATGTCGTTATCCCACCTGAAAGAGAACATAAATCACCACTCTAGATTAGAATATGAATGAAACCATGATACATGCAAAATCACTGTGATATTAGCTTTCCCATTCATTTATTGTCTAGGTGACCTGCGAAGATATATATGAAACTGAACTTGGCATGCTCAGAGATGGGGTCTATGTAACTTCAATATGGGAGAAAAAGAAACAAAATAAAACATGTGCACACTATTTAATGTCTTATATAAGAACCAACTTGGAATCATCCCAAGCAAAGCACAATTGATGATTCATGAAATCTGGACATAGGATAGTATTATGTTGATATTACCAGACTATTTCTCCTTTACCTACAGTATACTATTAACCAACATTATGTAACATGATATTGTTAGTTACTTCACGATCCTCTAATACCGGTGGTCTCTATAGCAAAGATATAAACCGTTTGTAACATGATACATGCTTCTCATAGAAATGAATCCATAGCAGCAAAGATATAAACCGTTTGCTGGTTTAAGAAACAAGCGCTAAAACCATTCATGAGTTCGCAACGGAAAAGCAACTTAAAAGAAACATCTAAGATCCAGTGACGAAGTAAACAATGACATAAATGAAGATGCTTCAACCACACATCAAAAGATAAAAAGAAAAACATAGTATGGGAAGGATAGCATCACATACCCCTTGGATTCTCTTTCCAGTCACAGGGCACCTTGGTCCTTTCGCCCTCTTCTTGGCAGTCTGGTAGGTAAGTTTCCCACCTATAACAAGATATAACTATATAAGCCATCATATTAGAAATCACAGACAAGTTCAGACACAGCAAAGACAGGATGTTAATTAAGCTAACATTATCCTTGCATTAGTTTCTACAGCATTCCAATTACTCCATTTTGGTTGACAAAAACAAGCACAAGAAACTTTAAACAATTGACGACTTCATCCATCCAATAAAAATGAAAACTACAGGTTCATTCATGGATAAATCAATTTGGACAAAAGCAAATTTTTTAACAAGAACTGATAAGTAAACTTCATTTGGGCATTAGCTTTCCATCCATCTAAAATTAAATAATAATTACAGTTAATGCTAAAGTAGACCAGTGTTCATCAGCATTAACACAACACACCCCAAGATCATCAAAATTGATAAAACTACATTTCAACGAACTTAAAAGCAAACGCCAAGCAGTCATCTTTTCAATACTAAACCCTAGTTCCGATCCCAAATCAGCCTAAAACC